TTGAAATCTCTTACGAGATACAGTTTGACTTTATACACGGATGTACATTTAGTAATACATTCAAAAACTCAGTCATGAATTGCAATACCTTGGCATTTTTTTCATTGAGATTATTTGTGTGGAAATAACCTCTTTAAAGTTTGAGTGCAGACTAGTGCAGTTTCCGTTGGGTATTTATATAAACCTACTAACAAATGCAAAAATACGTGAATCCATCAGATGTTCTCCCTTCTCTGCCAATGTTGTGTAGTTTAAACATAGTCGTGTTTTCATAGTCCTCATCTGATTTTTATATGTGAGTAAATTTAACATGATGTTATTTCCTTTAAGTCACTTACAGTAACTGAGGGGTTGGAATGCATAAAAATTGTGGGAGGTCTTAAATATTACATTGACAGGGTATTCACCTACATATTTAGGCATCTCAAAGGTGATTTAAGGTAATGAAGATCCCAAAGGAAGCATCTGAAAGACAGTTGTTGTCAGTTGCAGGTGAATAGGTGCCAAATTGATGGTTTGGTTAATGTAAATACTCCTTATTAGAAGATTCTTCTATGTATGGGGAAAAAAAACAACCTGCAATACTTAGAAGGACATAGACGTACTTTTTTTTGTTAGAAAAAGATTATATGATATTGCTGTTTCTTTTTTTCAATTTCCTTGCTCGTAAAAGGTAGGGGTCTAAACACCCAAACCAGGTTCAAAATAAAATTAAGGGAAATGGCACAGAATATTTGTCACTGTGCAAGCAGGGAGTGATTATTTCTTTATTTTCTTTGTATTTCTATTAATAGAAGCCTTTTATTTAAACGATTATTTTAATTTTGGCACGTAAGTCTTTCAGTGAATATAGTGGAAATACTCTTGAAAGTATATGCTCAAGTGTTCTGCTGGCTCAAGACCACAGTGCTCAGCATTTTTCAGGCCTCAGCCTTAATGCAGCTGTAGTTGGAAATAACATATATTCTATATATGTTCTATGTATGCTATTTGGGAAGAAGACATCCTAACTGAGGCAGCCATCAGTCACCTGTAAAGGAAAGAGAGGTTTCTGAAAAGGTACCTGTACAAAGAGACAACAATTCCTGCATGCCGTGACGAGAGTACCGTTACGGATTTGTATTCTTTTTAAATGCTTCTAATTTTTATAAAATAGAATGAAAAGACTAGGTCTTACTGAAGTTTGTATTGAAATTTTCTGAAGGAAAACTTCTGCAGCTACCACTGTCTCTGGTGGCACTGTCTATACGCCCCAAAAAAAACCCAAGGAAAGGAGGAAACTAAAAACCTCAAACCCTAAGTGGTAGGCAGCTGAATTAATCCATCTGCAGTATGTTTCGTAGTAAGTTCATGGGTACATAGCTGAGCATTTTCACTTTATACTACACCCAAAGAATAAATCATTTTATGTGTCCCCAGCTTTTTTTTTTTAATGCATTAGACGGCCTCCATCTGATTCAGGTTTCTGATTTGGGGACGTCTTCTATGGAACATGCAGCACATCATACTCCCTGATA